TACTGCGCTCCAATTTGCACGAAATTTTGGAATTAAATTAATCTTACCCTCAAGTTCGAAAGTGAAATCAATTCGTACTCCGCCACCCCCATTATATCTTTTAAAAACGTTTTCTAGCGATAAAATAGCTCAATGTCCACTTATTCATTAAGGGGTCGCGGAGTCCAAATTGTTTTCACTTTTGAACCTGAGGGTAAGGTGAACCTAATTCCAAAATTTCATGCAAATTGGAGCACAGTAAAAAAATTCAGAGGTTATAATCATCCATTAATTTCGTGTTAGCTACTCCTTTCGTTTATATGCCATACACTTCTACATTTACAATCACTTAGTTTTTTTCTAGTTTGGTGGTCCAGCTAGTATAAATATTTATATATATATATATATATATAAATTTATTTTTTATATATGTGTATGGTTCCAATTGATCCTTTATTCAAAAAAAAAAGTTTGGGGCTAATAAATTCAACTTGCCCTTGTCAGTTGTCAAGATTTCAATCTACTACCCTTACAGATTAAACCCCAAATAAAATACAAATACAAATATATATATATATATATATGTATATATATATATATATATATATATATATATATATTTCTGCAGATAGTGCGGATTAATTTTCACCCTATCCTTGCAGATTACATTCAATATGTCAAAGGAGTATATTTCATTTTCCAATGGGATTTATAAGTAGACCGAGATGTTGTAGGGCTTTGGTGGGTTAGAAAAAGTTGTAGATTATTTAATTTTGTATAAATTTCCCGAATACTTCATTCATATTAATCGAATGGTTTAAAAGTTACAACAGTTATAATAAATAAATACATTATTGATCATCAACTCTCTACATTCAGGGTCACCAATTAGCGCACGTTTTTTCCCAAAATTTTGCAAATTGCTATCTAAATTATTTATAGAAAAATAACAATCAGAAATAAATACATATAAATATTAGTTTTTTAACGTTCACCTTCAATTACATTTTTAACTTTAGTTTTAATTTAAAAGTTGCAGCAATTTTTATAAATAAATGTACAAACATACATGCTTTTACATTTCATTTGCATTTTTTCTACAAATATTTTCCTATCATGTTTTTTCTATAAATATATCTAAATCTAAGCAAGCAAGATGTTATTTTATCAAAATATATATTCTAAAGTATTTTTTTCGCCATTTTTATGCCTACATAGTTATATTTAATAGACGCCATTTCGTTTTATGATTTTTTTTTTTCTTACAAGAAAAAGGCACAAAGAAGTCAGATAAGGTTATATTTATATACAAACACCTATTTAGGGTTCCGTACCCGTATAAATCAACCACTGATGTAATAATAATAATAACAATAAATATAAGTATCGATATTTACAAACAAAATAGCTATAAAACATATGTATATATAAATAATTTAATGATTTTTCGAAGACAACTACTGATTTTTATATAAATTGCTGATTTTTTATACAAATTTTTGTATACTATACTAAATTCCATACAAAATTTAGTAATAGCCAATTTATTTTATATGCAAATGCAAGTGAAATCTGATTTTGGAAAGGAGTATGATTATGGTGGCAGCGGTAATTTTGCATTATTTTGTTTATAACTTAAAAAATTTTGTAAAGTACGTAATTGTTGGTTTTAGCTACGTTATAGCTAGATAAATTATATTATATATATATATATATATATATATATATATACAAAGTATATCACGTACGAGATTAACTCTCATAGTTGCAAGAAAATTATCCTCGTGCTAGAAAATTAATTTTGATTTAATCTTGGAGACAATTTATGAATACTAATTATATATACACACACTCATATATATTTATATATATATATATATATGTGTGTGTGTGTGTGTGTGTTTTAGTCCTTCATCAGGATTACTATCTTTAATAATATAATGAGAATTTTCTAAATTAATTCTTACATTAGTGAGCGTTTAATTTTAACAAAATATTATCAGAGGTAAAAGATGAATTATTTCAATTTTAAAATAATTGGAAAAGTGTGTTAGTATATTTAAAAAAATTGGGAAGATGGGGGACAAAACATCTTTTTTTTCATTGGAGTCAATCTAAAACTGACAAAAATAGTGAATTATTTTGAATTAGGAGCATTCGAATTTAAATGCGACCGACCTTTTATTAATAAATTTTAATATACTATACTGAATTCCATACAAAATGCAGTAAAAGCCATTTTACTTTATATGCAACTGCAAGTGAAATCTGATTTTGGAAAGAAGTATGATTATGGTGGCAGCGATAATTTTGCATTATTTTGTTTATAACTAAAAAAATGTACGAAATAAATAAATATTGCCTTTAGTTAAGTTATATCTAGATAAAATATCTACAAAATTCAAAAATTATCTAAAATAAAGACAAGATTCAAGACAAGATTTATCTAAAATAAAGTTTCATTACTATAATTGCATTTTATTCTTGATGTTTGGCCAAACTTGCAAAAGTAGGAAAGATTTTTATAAATTCGTTTATAACTAAAAAAATATACGAAATAACTAAATGTTGTCTATAACTGAGTTATATCTAGATAACTTATCTACAAAATTTTCAATAAAGTTAATAATAAAAGTTTCATTACTGTAAATTGCATTTTAGTCTTGACGTTTGATCAAACATGCAAAACTAGGAAAGATTTTTATACATTTCTACAATTTTTATTTCACCTTGAAGAATGTATATCACACACATATATACATATATATATGTATATTATATATATTATATATATATATATATATATATATATATTTAAAATTCACACCTCACCTCCGAAATCTACTTCATCTTCTTCCTCTAAAAATCCTCTAAAGTCTATACTTCTCACAAACTACTCAAATATTCTACCAAAATATCGTTTTTATTGAACCCACTACTTATTATATACACCACTAGTTCTTACATCATTCAATTAAATATTTTTCCGAATTTTTCCTATTTTTACGCAATTTATTTTTACGAAAATTGCCGAAGATCTCTCTCGACACGTCCGCTCGCTTCGGCTTTCGAAGCGCTACTAAACGCAAAGTATCGAAATCTGAGCTTTTGATAGGCGAAAAGCTTAAAGAAGGTAATACGTAACATATACGTAACATTTAGGAAACTAGTTCATAGTGGTAATTTGCCTTGAGGCAAGTTGTATGAACTTCCCATCAGAAAATAATCAACTTAATTAATTAGAATTGAGATACAGATATTTAGGTAAAATGTTTAGAAGTTTATTTGGAAAATAAAATTTTGGTTTTTACTAAATAATAATCAATGTGATTTCCAATTGATATCTTTCAAACCTATTACAATATCTGTAAAAGTGTTCAAAACATTTACTTATTCCATATATTTTTTAGCTATAAATAAATTCATAAAAATCTGTTCCAGTTTTGCATGATTGATCAAAAGTCAAAACTAAAATGCTATTTACAGTAATGAAACTATATTTTAGATAAATCTTGTTTTTGAGTAGATAATTTATTTAGCTTAAGTCAACATTCACTTACTTTGTATGATTTTTAGTTATAAACAAAATAAAGCAAAATTACCGCTGCCACCATAATCATACTTCTTTCCAAAATCAAACTTCACTTGTTGTTGCATATAAAATAAAATGGCTTTTACTAAATTTTGTATTGAATTAAGTATAGTATATTAAAATCTAATAAAAAAGGTGCACTTATTACAAGCGCTGCCCATCATTCCAAACTTTAATAAATTATCACTTGTCATAGGCCTATAATATTTTAGAATGTTCGTTAACACTATATTCACTATTACCGTACAAAATAATATTTCAATGAAAATTTTTAACAATAATGAAATCTATTTGCCCAAAAACTGATATTCTTAGAACTTTCAATTTATCAAAATCGGTTCAGTACACGAGTTATTTTGAACTTTTCTTTTTATTCTACACAAAACGGCTTAGAAGATCATCTCACAAAACCAACGCGAGAATCCTTATCGAAATTCATTGTACGACCTTGAAATTTTTGAAATCGGTACAGCCGTTTCTGAGCAAACGTTGAGAAGGGTCAAATTTCAGCACTCCTGTACTTTTTTCAAATTTGGTGTCAAAGGCTTCAGAATGATTCGTAACATCCACAAAACGTAAGATTTGCAGGACGGTTTTTCTGGCAAAAATTTCTGTTCAAAAATATTACGTAACACAAACGTAACAAATGTGACATTTTAAATAATTAGAGATTTGCCATTTTAAGGAATTGAAGATGTATGTAAACTATAATATATATATATATATATATATATATATATATATATAAAGTTTTACATTAACCCCTGATGAAGGCATATTCATGACAAACAAAAAGTATCCACTCATCTAATTAATCACGTTAAGTGCACAAACCGCACTGAGAGGGAAATTCAATCAATAAAATTATATAAAGGTAAATATATATGTATATATATATATATGTGTGTGTGTGTGCATGTATACCTTTACTTTCTCTTATGTTACTTCTCAAACTTGTGCTCCTGTGCCTCATTTTTCAGTTCTCTAGAATTTGTCTTCTCATGCAATTGTTCCAATAACTACATTTTTCTTCGTCCTTATACATTCAGTTTAATCTTACTTTCAATGACGTCATACAAGAGGCATTTTCGACCAAAAATGCTCTCACCCAGTTTTTTTTTCTTTTCTATACAGTAAATACCTTTTTCTCTAGCATACCTTGCAATACTACTTTATTTGATCTCTGTGTGAATGCTTTTCATTTACATCTCTAAACAACCCCTGAATTTCTATAGAGTCCATGTTTCTGATCTGTATAGAGCCAGAGGCTACATGTATTTCACCTATTTTTCATCTATTTACCACCTTTCATCTTTTACCACCTGTTATTTCACCAATTTGACTTCAAAATGAATATGAAACACCAAAATGTGCAAAGTCTATTATTGTTTTATTGTTCTCCTAATTACAATTAGTGTATCATCTGTCTCTAAAAAACTGCATTTCTAACGATCCAATCCAAATAAGAGTTGACCCTTGTGTAGACTCCTGGTTTTCCTGGCTCACCACATCGTATTCCCCAACTGACGACACCAATGAGAACCCAACGACCGTTTGTTGATAGTTTGTGGACTAAGGGACCGCCACTGTCACCCTGGGAGAGAAAAAAGTAGATGATGATGGAGAAGATATAGATTTCAAAAGTATCCTGATGGTGAAAGAATAATTGATTTCATAGAAGGTCTTCTGCTCTTTGTCCAGATTAGCCTAAAAACTTGTTTTTGTGCCAACTTTTTTACCTGCCTACTCTGTGCTTGTTTAACTTTTTTATAAAACTGCTAATTTGCCAGATAAATAGTCTCCAAGAAGCTGAAACGTATTTACTTGGCAAAATATTTGTCTGGTCTTGTATTTGTCTGATAACGTATTTACCAGACGAACTGATTCACCAAACATTTACCAAAGAAAACTGATTCACTTAAAATATTATCACCAGCAAACTTCTGGCTAAAAAGAACCTTCTCCTTACTTCTTACCTGACAACTGTCCTTTCCTCCTCGTTTACTGCTCGCACACAAAACCGAGCTCACCAGCTTCTGGTGCGCAAAAGCATTAGTACAATCCCTCTGGTTCCAAACAGGCACCGCAACTTCCCTCAAACCGCCTTTATTCAAAGGACCTCCATAATAGGAACTGCCCCAACCTGAAAACAATAAAAATAATCATACATCCCTGGAATATATCAACAAAGATCTTCCTCTTACCAGTGACCACAGCCATCTCGTTCTCCCAAGTGCTGCCAATTGGCGGCAGACAGACTGGAGATATTCTAAGGTCATAAGATCGAATTGGTTTTGATAGTCGGATAATCGATATGTCGTGCTCGTAGGATGAAGGATCGAAAGATCGATGTTGGCGGATTTCGGCAACAGTGAAAGATCCTTCTGGTCTGGTTGAGGAGAGATCTGTTTCGCCTAGACGGACGAACAGGTCTCGCGGCCTCATTCTGGTAAAAAATAATTGGTATAAGGTCTAATGAATTATTGTAGAGAATTATGATGTTAGTAAAAATTGTAGATGATTTAATTTTCTACCAATGATTGGAGTTCAGATTAATCTAATGGTTTGATAGTTGTGGTAGATTTATTAACTAAATTTACTTCGAAGTGCATAAATACAACATTACCAAGATTTGCAGCCTATAAAATTTCCAACCAACCTTCTATTTTCCACCACCATTTATAAATCCATCTTTTCACCAAACTTACCTATTTGTGCAATGAGCAGCTGTCAGAACGTGTCTATCTGTAATCAAAGAGCCTCCACAAAATAGTTCCAAAGGTCCTGTGTTCGAGAAGCTTTGAGAATGCCTGAACAGTGCTGCCATCCATGGCCAACGGCCAGGATTTGCAGGTTGGCCACCTGCTATACGCAAAGGGCCACGGGCCGAACTTGTACCACAACCTGGGTAATAGATACGTGTCCTCTTTTTTAGTTTTTTTAGTACAACTTTTTTTCTGATGGGTCGTTTTAAATTTAGTTTGGATATTTAGAAACTAGATAAAATTTACTAAAATTTCTGTAAATAAATATTTTTACTACAATGCTTTCCAAAAGGAGAAAATTGTGCTGAAGTTGAGTAATATTTTTGAAAATTGTTAAAACATATGTCTTTTACTTTCTGACCTTTATAAGGCTTCTGTTGTCCTCCATTCTGAGGCGGAGGACCCAAAGGTAACTCTGTGGGTCGTTCGCCCCACGATGGGGCTTCCTGGGGCGATTTTGTAGGAAAAAAGAACCGTTCGTTTAAATCCTCTGGACAACAGACTCCTGCGTATCTGGAAAATAAAACATACGTTTTTCTTCGGCATTTTTGAGTATACTGAGTTGTTGTATGGTCATTTGATGTTAGAAAAAGTTGTAGATGATTTAATTTTACACAAATTTATTTAATACATTATTTATATTTAACGTTTTGTTTTGCTGTACTATTACAAGTACAGTGGGTCAAAATAATGATAATCAATATTTATTATTATTATTATTATTCTTATTTTACCTGTTATCGATTTCGCAAGCAATTTCTTCGTATTTTGTAAAATTTTGCATAAACTCTGGCAAAATGCAAAAACGAAAATGTCGACAAAATCTTGTGGATCCATCTGCCAATGTTTTGTTGCAAACTTGGTGAAATTCATCGGTCTAAAAATAATAATATATATTATGAATATAAATATATATATTTTTATATTTTTACTTACTTGGTTTGTTGCAATTTCCAAAATTTTAATTTCAGATTTGTTGCTATTTTCTTGTTGCAAATGTATATGTATATTATTATTTGTAGAATTTAACCATGATGGTAAAATATCTGTTGAAATTCAATATATTCGTTGAAAAATTTAATTAAAATATTATTATTACTGCAAAATTAAATTAATTTTTAATTAATTATGATTATTATTAATACATTTCTTACCATAATAAACCTCTTCAGAATTTTCATAAACTTCTTCACACAAAATAGCACCAAATTTGCAAATTAAAAATAATAATTTAATTTTATAAACTATTTTAAATATTGTTAAAGACATCATTCGAATCAAGTTTCTTTTTACACTAATGGCTTTGTCGATTTTTTTTATTTATATATATAAATTTCTAATCGCCTAAATGATAAAATATGCTGGTACTTTTGAAAACATATAAATATACATGAATATTTACATATACATATATGTGTATATATATGTATACATAAATGTATATTACAAATTTCCCAAAAAAATATTTCTTGATAAAAAAAATTAGAACACTAAAATGCTAAACTGATGATAAGAAAAATGATTTCTAAATTGTCAAATTAGAAATTTTTTGTACTCTTATTATTAACATGTATACATCATTAATATTCACCCTTTCCACTCGGATGCCAAAATTTATATAAATCTCAAAATTCGCGAGTGGAAAGGGTTAATATAGGTGTTCTATGGCGTAACGGTAAAACGCACTGTCTCGTGTGGTTAGGGTCCTGAGTTCGAATCATGCAGAAGTGATATCAATTTTATTCACTTGAAAATATAGACAAAAAATATATTTCCAATTGAAAATGGGCCCATTTCGGGCACTGCGGTGTGAAAGGGCAATGGGAAATCCCTCATCTTATTCTTCTCTGAATTGAGTTGGAGTTAACTCAGCTCATGAACCTGCCCTAGGTCAGTAATACCCATTTGTTCGAATCATGCAGAAGTGATATCAATTTTATTCACTTGAAAATATAGGCGAAAAATATGTTTCCAATTGAAAATAAGCCCACCTTGGGCACTGCGGTGTGAAAAGGCAATGGGAAATCCCTTACACTTTTCTCTGAATTAAGTTGGTGTTTAACACATTTCATGGACCTGCCCTAGGGCAGTACTGCCCATTATCAATGAATCAATCAATTTTATATCTATCTATTTTTTTGAATTAAGTTTTTAACCCTTTCCACTCGGATGCAGCCGCGACCGCAATTCGCAAGTTGAAAATGTAAAAGTAATTTAAAATATAATATATACAGCATACAGCAGAACCAGGTCGATATAATCGCGCTTAAGACGATTTCTCGCATAAAACGTTACTTTAAGGCAGACCTTGCACGTTGTGGTATTTGCACGTATTGATATTTTTGCTATCCTCTATTAAAATACTCAGAGCATTATAAAAATGAATTGATTTATTATATATCTTATAACTTTAAAACCATTCGATTAATATGAATGATGTATAAAACGTTGGAAACCCCGCTCTAGATAACCTGATATCATGCAGAAGTGATATCAATTTTCACTTAGATAAAAAATATGTATCCAATTGAAAAGAGCCCATTTCGGGCACTGGGGTGTGAAAAGGCAATGGGAAATGTCACACTATTCTTCCCTGAATTGAGTTGGAGTTTAACTCAGCTCATGGACCTGCCCTAGGGCAGTACTGCCCATTATCAATGATTCAATCAATTTTATATTTATCTATTTCTTTTAATAACCTCTTCCACTCGGATGCAGTTTGCGAGTGAGAAGGGTAGAAGTTATTTCAAATATAATATATACAGCATACAGCAGAACCACGTCGATATAATCACGCTTAAGACGATTTCTCGCACGATACGTTACTTTGAAGCAGACCCTGCATGTTGAGGCATATTGCTCCAATACTCAGAGCTTTCTAAAATTGATTCTTTTTATTATATCTCTTATAACTTTAAAACCATTTGATTAATATGAATGATTTATAAGACAATTTTGTTTAAAATTAAATATTCTACAACTTTTTCCAAATATATTAAGCCCTACATCAATCAGTATACCCAAAGTTTTTGCCATTTTATTTTTATGAAAGATTCAAAGATATATCATGGATTTTTTAACAAAGTTTTTACTATTTACCATATTGACTATAACCATGGTATACTCTGAAACCTGAAAACATGATATACCACTTAAAATCTTCATAAAACACACATATATTAATACTGAAACGGATGTATTTCTTTATAAAATATACAAAAATAATTATCTCTTAACTAAATATTCCCCAAACTATTACTACTATTCCCACCATTGCCCAAATTGACATTCCCACCAGCCCCAGTTCCTCCAGACACAACATTCTGCCCGACACCAGCATTGCCACCGATCAGATTGGCATTGGTCGATGCCAGATTCACATTGACATTCATATTCTGTTGCTGCTGCTGCTGCTGTTGTTGTTGCTGTTGGTTAGTGCTGCTACTACTACTGATGCTGACTGGTGTGCTTGCGGCTGGGGTGTTCTGTCCACTGGGGTTGGTCGAGGGGGTAGTGGAAGATGACGAGATTTCGTCGACGTTGAGATGAGCTATGAATCTGAGGCGCATCTGGAGAGCTGGTCGGAGTCTTCTGACGATTGGTTCTACTTCGCTGCGCATCATGTCGCCGACGAACATGTATTTGATGTGATACCTGGGGGTAAAGGATAATTGGTGAAAGATCAAGAGGTTGAATCTACAATTGGACAAGGAAAACCACAGGTGCATTCTGAATCAATACTTTTCCAATCAGATACTTCTGGATAAATCATGATAGATCATATATTTTGGATGACAAAGACAATTTGGATGACAAAGACACCAAGACAAGAAGTTAGCAAAGACACCAGTTGCAGGATCAATAATCAGACATCATTTTCAATACAGGAACGACTCTGTCTCATTTCACAATAGCTCTGATGAATATTAGTAAAAAAACAAAATCCTGGAGATCCGAGATCCTGGATTAATGCAGGTAGAACTTAACTTCCAACATAAATTGAAATGGATTGCAGATAAAGGTCAAGCTGTTGTGATTGTGATGTAGTAGTAGATTTGACATCAGATACTTCTGGATAAACCATCATAGATAATATATTTTAAAGACAATTTAGATGACAAAGACACCAAGACAAAGAGTTAACAAAGACACCAGTTGCAGGATCAATAATCAGACATCAATTTCAATACAGGAATGACTGTAGTTTTATTTCATAAAAGTTCTGATAAATCAACAAATTTAACCAGGAGAGATTCTGGATTAAATGAGAAAGAACTTAATTTCCAACTTCCAACATAAATTGAGATGAATAGCAGATAAAGGTCAAGCTGTTGTGATTGTGATGTAGTAGTAGATTCGACATCAGATACTTCTGTATAAACCATAATAGATAATATATTTTAAAGACAATTTAGATGACAAAGACACCAAGACAAAGAGTTAGCAAAGACACCAGTTGTAGGATCAATGATCAGACATCAATTTCAATACAGGAATGAATGTAGTTTAATCTCACAAAAGTTCTGATAAATATTTTTAGATAAACAAAATTAACCAGGAGAGATTCTGGATTAATTAAGGAAGAGCCTAACTTCCAACTCTATCAATTAAAATGAGTAGCAGATCTATCAATTAAAATGAGTAGCAAATTAAGGTCAAGCTGTCATAATGGTGATGTAGTAGAAGATTGTACAACTAGATACTGATAAAACTTCTAAAATTGGAGAACACAACTTAGAGGACCAAATAATTAAACTAGATGACCAAACAATTAGTAAAGTGATCAGATGCAGATGATAAATAAAAAATGACACTCCAAATTCAATCAAAAGATTGGATCCAAAGTAATGACAGCACAGGACCAGAAGCAAAAAGAAGTTATTCCAAGAAAGCAAAAAAAGGTAGACACCTATTGATTTTACAGTCTCTACAAGATTGGCAGAGTCTGTTGATGCATTGCTGACAAAATCAATGTCGATGCACTGATCACAAAACAAATTAGCAAAATGATCAGGTGCAAGATCAAAAATGAGACTCCAAATGCAATCAAAAGAGTGGATTCAAAATAAAGACCAGAACTGTAGTCAGATTCCACAGATAGAAGTTCTTCCAAAATAGCAAAAAAGGTGGACAACTACAGATTTTACAGTGTACAAGATTAGCAGAGTCTGCAATAGTCTAACTGAATAACTAAAAATGATTAGAATCCATCATCTATAAACATTACTTTAAATTTTTATCTTAATGCACTGATACCAAATTTAAACAGGACAAACTTAACTGCTGAATAGTCTTAAAATTTATACATAAACACACACACACACATATATATATATATATATATATATATAAATTTATAATTTTTTTCCTTACAGGAGATCACAGACAGGATCCATAAACTCCAAATGCTGCTGAGTCTTATCAACTTGCTCTAATTGCTCATAGAGTGCCTGTGCCAACTCGATGACTGCTCTTGGTCTTTCAGAATTGTACCTTTGCAGAAATGGACCCACCAGATGGCACACAAACAATAACTGGGCCTCGGTTCGTACTTTTATTTCTTTTATAAACCTAGAAAGGAAATGGAAACATGTATATATATATATATATATGATATTCAGTTTTCAGGGCAATACATCAATTAAAAAATTTGTATGACTTTAAAAACTTTTAATTGATGTATTGCCCTGAAAACTGAATATCACATATTTCAACATCAAAATTATATAAAAAAAATTAATATATATATATATATATATATATATATATATTATTTATTTGTTACTTACTTGGGCACTTGAGCAATGTGTCCAGGACCGGCATGGTGCCAAACTGCATGGGCACTGGCCAGGGCCAAACTGAATTCGCATTCTAAGGCGCATTGGGACGACTGGGCAAAGTTGTACAGTAGGAATGGGGAATGTCTAAAATAATAATAATAATTATTATTATTAATTAAATTTACTTTAATATTATAGCAATCCTTTAGAACTTTACTGATGATCAGTCTACAAATACAACTCTTGCTTTATTGTTACTATATTTACTTGTAAGGCCATTGCACCATCTCCTTAGAATTGATGACCTGAAGCAATCTTTCATGTAGAACACTCCAATACGATTCAGGCAATGATGACAGGATTAAACCAACACAGTTTATCCAGCTGTAGATTTCTGTTGGCGGTATCACTGTGTACCTGCCAATAATAGAAAGTTGGTTTATTATAACTCTTGCAACTCTTAAACTATTCAATGAATTTGAATGATACTTTTGGCAAATGAGACCTCATAACCCTACAGTAACTTGGTATACTCTTAAATCTCATTTAAACCATCTTGTGCCCCATTACATCCTGGCCTTTTAAACAAAGTGCAAGACTTTCTGCTTCTTCCTGTATCTTTTATCATTTTTATGTCTTATTCTTTAGTTATTATCCCTTATTTCTTACCTTTGGCCAGGACGTCCAGAAGGCCTCCTGAAACCAGGGGAGAACCTACTGGGAGTCCCATTAATTCAACACAAGTCACAAATTAAATTATCTACAACATTGTTTAAGACCTCAATACCCTACAGCAATTTGGCATAATCAGAAATCTCAATTAAACAAAAATCTTGTACCAAATTACATCCTGTCCTTTTAAACAAAGTGCAAGACTTTTTGCTTCTTCTTTATCCCTTCTCTTTTTTGATGTCTTATACTTCAATTTTTATCTCTTATTTCTTACCCTTTGGTCAGGACGTCCAGAAGGCCTCCTGCAACCAGGGGAGGACCCACTGGGAGCCCCATGGGCATTAAATTAAATTATCTACAATTATTTAAGACCTCATAACCCTACAGCAACTCAATATACTCAGAAATCTCAATTAAACAAATATCTTGTACCAAATTACATCAAACTGCAAGACTTTTTGCTTCTTCCTGTATCTTTCATTATTTTTGATGTCTTATTCTTCAATTTTTATCCCTTATTTCTTACCCTTTGGCCAGGACGTCCAAAAGGCCTCCTGCAACCAGGGGAGGACCCACTGGGAGCCCCATCAATTCGACACAAGTAGCATAAAGGGCATGGGCAGAGGCGTTAGGGAATTCGTTGAATCTCCAATCCACTCCTGAGAAGTGATTTACTGTACCGGACATAGCTAAAAAAATATTAATAATATTAGTATTGGTGTGCTATTTATGGTACAGTAACTTTGAACTGAGTAATTTCTGGTGCATTAATTTGTTACAATTCTTGTAACGTTTGAATCATTTGATTAATCTGAATGATGTATTAGAGAAATTGGTGCAAAATTAAATGGCCTACAATATTATCAAACATCATAATACTGTACAGAAACTCGGAATACCCAAAATTGACAATAGGACAGGATAAATATCCACAACAACTATTAAAGTCTTTTTTCTCCTTGATTAACTAATATTATAATTAAAGTAAATGCATATTTAATATTGAATAAAATTTATTGAATAATAAATAATAATCTTAAGTTAATAAATAAAATAATTTTACTTACTTTCAACCATCCTTTTAACTAAGGAAATATAATAAGATAAATCAGGAATCCATAAAACTGCTTCAGTTTCAGGTTTTAACATAAAAGCCTAAAAAAATTATAAATATTATTTATAACCCTAATAATTTATCATAATATTTTGCAGTATTTTACCTGATAAGTTTCACTAAGAGCCCAATTTGGAGGCCTTATATCTTTCAAGGACCCCAAAATTGCAGAAACCTAAAAAAAATATAAAATAATAACTAATATATATATATATATATATATATATATATATACACATATATATTATATATTATTATTATTATTCTTTTATTACCAGTCTTCTTTTCAAAGGTGGACTGTCCCTGATTTTTCGTTCATAATAATGTAAAGTATTATACAAATATGTCACTGGACGGTCTAAAAAAAAAGGAAAACTGATTAATTAATCTATTATCAATTAGTACTTGCTAATAATTCTTTAGTTAATTAGTTATTTTACCGTGGAATTTATATAAACATCCTAAATGATCCAAAAGTATCTCCAAACTTTTTCGAACTGCAGATATTTCCAAATATCTATGTATGACTATGTCAAATACTGGAAGAAACCTGAAAAAATAATAAAATAATTATAT